ACCTATTCTCAATTTGATCACAGACTTTAAGTCATAACAAAAGTTTGACAGTAAACAAAGAGTATATATATGTGTATTATTAAAGCATAGTTAAAAAAAATATTAGCATTCTGCACTCCTTCACTACATTCTTTATAAGTGTGGGAAATTTCATACTCCTCCGTCCGCGCAATGTTCGTAAAAGGAGTTTTTGTTTTACGTATTAATATGTAGATTAATTCAACAAGGTTTTTTTTAAATACCATCTGATTTCCATATATTGTTGTATACCAAGAACAAAATAGAGTTAACTATCAATATCCATGCAATTATTGGTGCCAATTTGTGACGCTCGTTCGTTTCAATTCGATTGGACGACTCTACTCCGCGATGACATAATTCGTAACTGCACACTATTTTGTTCTTGAAAGTATTTTTGTTTTTCTGTGTTCAATACGATCGTGTCTATTTGGTCTACTAACCTTTGATGTGACTCGATTTGGTCGAGATGCCTACGTGATATTTTACGCATTTATTAACAACGTTGCACGCTAATTACGTAAATTATATCACACGGTGTAATGCTCCGACGGGCTTAGCTCTAATGGAAAGCTTTATTATGATAAATTTATTATAATATTTACCCCAAGATGAGATATTTGCATACATGAAAGTGACTTAGTAATGCTCGGAATTTTAATGGTTTATTATTATAATATCATGCAAGAAGATCTTATATCGCCAGCCTTATCTTATAATTGTAATTTTTCTAAATACATATAATAAAACAGTTTCCCGTGGAAATGAGATGTTTCTTCAGTATAAAAGGGTCATATAGCCTACGTTACTCTGCTGACCTAAAACTATCCCTTTTACCCATCTACGTTAAAAAAATATAGATGTGAAGCTCTTAAACGATCATCAGAAATTTTTTATCAGAATAAAAACTGTACTCTAATACATTAGAAAACTATTGACCATCCCATATTTCTAAAATCTCTCTAAAAAGTAACATTCCAGAAAAACGACTGATAAGTTGCTCTGAAAATTTATCAGCTCAACCCAATTGGTATCCTTAAAAAACTGTTTACAAGTGTAGTTGCTTATGTATTCATCGTGGATTACTGCAACGATTGAAAGGGCCACACGCTCAGCTGTGTATCAACCTTCGGTTGCTCAGGCCCTGACTCACGGCCTCGCAACCAGTATTTATGACATCCACCGGAAACTTTAAAGCCTGTAATTTAAACCGGGACTCTGTGTTGGCATTTTAAAATCAGTCTCGTCGGTATTGTGTTTTTATTTGCACAAATCGTCGCTGTCAAACCAAAATCTGCTATGTGCAAAAAGTCTATTTTGAATTTTTCTTTCTTTTAATAATAAATAAATAAATAAATATTTACTAACAATCACGCCACGTTAACTGGTCCCGTGATAAGTTCGTAAAGAACTTGTGTTACAGGTACCAGATAACGGAGATAAATGTAAGATTTTTTATTATACACATACATATATTCAATATTTTAATACACATCCATAACCCTGGAAAAGACATTTATATGTATCATACAAATATCTCCCCTTGGCGGGATTCGAACCCGCGACCCCCTTGTGTAGTGACCATGTCACTTACCACTACACCAGACGGCCGTTAAACTATTAACGAATTAACGAGTAAAAACGTTTTCGTATAAAACTTTTTATATGAAGGTGAATTTTTAAGAACTATATTAAATGTAAACTATAGATAAATATTAAAGCTACAGACACATAACAGTTTTTTTATACGGTAGATAGGGCTGTGAACTATACGAAAAGGTAAAAAAGTAAAAATCTCAAAAAGTGCACATAGCAGATTTTTGTTTGACAACGACTAAATACACTTTTACTTATGGTAGGACCTCTTGTGAGTCAGCGCGGGTAGGTACCACCACCCTGCCTATTTCTGCCGTGAAGCAGTAATGCGTTTCGGTTTGAAGGGTGGGGCAACCGTTGTAGCTATACTTGAGACTTTAGAACTTATTCCAAGGTGGGTGGCGCATTTACGTCGTAAATGTCTATGGGCTCCAGTAACCACTTTGGGATGTGAGCTCGTCCATCATCTAACCAATAAAAAAAATATACAAATTGTAGTGCACATTCGAATAACATTCCTGCCCGATTTTAGTTTGACTTAAACTTTCATCAAGACTTAAGTAGCTTTATTGTTGAAGAGACGACGTCGCTTTTCGTTATGTTCGGAAAAAGCCTTTTGTGTGGCCCACACTGCCACTGACATTTTCAGGAAAAACCTTTCTCGTTCACGTCTCAACTTTGATGACTATTGTTTTGCAGACTGTAGTCGTCATCTTGATATTGTTTCTATACTTCGCTAATGTGAATGTAAGACGCTGTTATGTAACTTTTCTTTATTGGATATGAACTAAATTTTTGTCAACAATTTATTACTGTATTAATAATCGATTTATTAATACATTATTATCTTATGTTGTAACAATTTTTATTTTATTTTAAGTCATGCGGCCTTCGATATATACATAAGAGTACATATATCTAAGAATCTTACTAATGTTAAAAAATAATATATGGTAGATATAGTTAAAATCATAAATCATAATATAATATAATAGAATTATGTGTCATTCCCATGGTAAGCTGCTTAAAGTGTCCTATGGATTCTTCATTTGTTTTTCTATGGTCGGGTTACATTTCAAAGAACCATTACTATGATTTAGTTATTAAATCATATTTATATGATATTAGTTAATTATTATATGTAGAAGATAATGTAAATGAGTAAACGAACTTCTGCAATACTTCTGGTCTTATCAACGTGACTGAAAATACAGATACTGTGAAATCCGTCGCCCATCTTGAGACATGAGGCCTCAATTGAATTTAAATAACGGGCATACTTACGTGTCTTTCCACAACATGGCTGTTCAACAGAAAGCAGTTCGGTTGATATTTCCGACGTTTTTCCACTCAGTTTATGAAATAACATTAAAACGAACTTGTCTTGATAAGTAATTGTTATGTTAATAATTTCACAATCAAACTGAGTCATAAATCACAAAAACGCCAATTGGTATTGTGAATAATTGTTTTCATGAGAATGACATTAAATAAAATACACGATGTTGTATTTATGATTAGATTAAGAAAATCAATTTAATCAACGCGTGCCTTATAAACACACAATTTAAAAACAATGACGGATCAAATATTATAAGCCATTGTTACATATTCATTACTTTAATTTTCTTTATTACATATTTTATGTAAACACGTGTTTGAATTTTTTTGTAGATTGGTTAATAATAATTAAGTATAGTCGTGATGTTTCATTCATAAGATCTTTAGAAATTTAATTGGTGGTTAAATACTTTGTTATTTCTTTTTCTTATATACTTTATTATTCTCTCTCAATATGCGTTTGGGTGGCGCCCTGGATGGCTTAGATTCACATATCAGCCCGGCAGATGGCGCTGCTGTCGGTATCTAGGATATTTATCTATACTGCAATTAAACGGCTGGATCAATTTGAATTTTTGTATATGCATTCATTCATTCATTTTGTCTATGCAGGATAACGTCTGTGGGGTCCGCTAGTGTATTATAAATTAAGTGACGTCTATTTTTTTGACTGAAATCTAATTCTGTACTGCCACACAAGCTACTAACTTATCATAGCTCTATTACACTGCAACAGCGTGGTCTAAAACTCTTTAGGTGGCGAAGTTACGTACAGCAATACTCGTATTACGCGCTAAGGCAATTATCTAACAAGCGGTCAGGCCTGCTGTGCTAGTATTATTAAATAAAAAGTCCCACCGCGTTCCTCTTTTAAGGCGTGTTTCACAACGCTACTTGTTCTATTAAAGTTTAATGAATCCAATCGATTTGGATGCTTTTGTCAAAGTTCAAAATTTCAAATGTTGAATCGTATGTCAAACATACATAATTATTGTGGATAGACAACTACCTTATTCTTGTAAGAGTAGGACTTATGGAAATACCTCTTTTTTGTGGCTTGTATCGTATGTATATAAGCACACCTGAGTAAGCGCTTAAAATTATCCCGTCATATTATTTCACAAACTACATGGAACCATGTATAATAGAATTAAACTTTGTATACCAATTCGAGACGCTGGTGTCTATATTCACACCTAGTAGCTACATTTTCAAGATGTATTATAAAATTAATTTATTGCAAAACTGTACCACTATACATTTCAAAACTGGCTCTAGATCGTATTATGAAGTCTGTGGTCGGCTGCAACGAGGCGACTAAACCGCATTAGTAATCACATCTTAGCTGATGTCAACGAACTTCATCTTATTTGCATAGAGCCTTGCACATAAATATGCACTCTAGTGATTAGAATCCAGTTTTTCGTTTTGCTGATGCACATTTTATTTATGTTTAATAAGAACTAAGTGTAGTAAAATTGTGGTTGATGCAAAAGACGATTGTATGTAGTTGAGAATTGACGTTATTGCAGAGGTTGTCCTGAAGCGGAGCTTTAGATAATGCTTTGTTTAAACCGACTCGTGTTCGAGTTTTAAAAATGATGAAACTATGAGGCTGCGATTATGGGATTGACCGCGTGTTCAACGTACCGTTATTAGGTTATAGTTTACGCCTGAATAAAACACATTGTGAATTTTCCGTACGAGTATACCTCTGTTAAGAGCGAGAATATTTTTTAAGTAGATAGATTTATTTATCGAGTGGACGTATCTTGTAAAACAAAATGCTTTCTGTTGACATTTAAATTCAAATAATATTGATTTAAATATTTTTTAAAAATCTTTAATAATGTGAAACTAGTTGAAACAGTTTCTGTACTATTTATATTTATTACATTTTTGTGCTGAAAATGGAAGAACATTTTTAATACTTTGTCTTTGAAACTCCCTACAAATTTCAATATTCATGAAAGGTTGTACAAACTAACTACACTTGCGAGTTTAATTTTCCGATGGGATTAAATTTTTTTCCCTTCTTGTTTCAGATTTATCAAAGAATCGGTTCAGTGAAGTGCCAGATGAACTCACGACATACGTTTATTTAGAAAAGTTACTTTTATCACAAAATGTTATCAAAAGCATCCCGGATGGCGTCGGCGGCCTGCAGTCCCTTACATATTTGGATCTCAGGTAATAAAACGATTTATGATTCCCTTAATTTTATTTCATTAAATGCTATTTACAAGCAATGTATGTTTTATAGAAGACTAACCTGTATAAGTAACTAAATATGATAGACCTTCTAAAATAGTTATTAGATTAATTTATTAACAGCGGCTGCTGAATAATTGGCGTTACATAAAACTTGCATAAGTTCCATTTTAACGTTGATCTTTAGTTCTTCTCGTACCGATTTTAAATGTGGTAGTAAGGACATTAGAAACATTTTGTCTGAATCATCGTTATCGTATTTCGGCACGTCCACGTTCGCGAATGCAAATTCCTCTGTCGTTGGTTTGTTTGTTTTAGAATCTGTCCTCATTGAATTTGCTTCGGTTCCGTCATTGGAATCGTCTCTCTGGTCTTGTGGATCATTTTCACCAATTTCGACTACATCCTCATCCGACGTACGGTCTTCGTATTTGATAACTTTAATTTTCTTTCTAGGTCTCCATACTTTACTTTTTGTATCTTCTTCCGATTCGCTTGAAGCGTTTTCACTGTTTCGCTTTTTTACTTCCCTGAGCTCTTGGTTCTTTAAGAGGAACTGTAATTTTTTTGCGTAAATGTATGGCCTTCTTCCCTTGTTTGGATTCGACAAGTATTTGTGAAAACAATCCTTGATGCTCTTCCATTTCTTTTGTAGTTGAATTTCTGAAAGAAATATTGAAAAATTAGGTTATGTGATGTCGCCAACCTACTTTCAGATATGAGGTCAAAGCCTTGTATTTGTATATGTCATTGACGCATAACAGCTGCAGGGAGAAATAGGCAGGATGGTAGTACGAACCCATGCAAGCATACAATAAGACATACCACCAAGAATTAAACTCACAAGATTTATAAATTTTCGCAAACAGTTGGTTGCTAATTGAGCTATTATATTATGTACTATGTAATAATTTATATCCCATAATTCATTTCGTTGCACTAATTTAGGTATTCAGTATAAAATCTTGTCTTTGTGTTGATTTAAAAGAAAGAATAAACACATCATCAGCAAAAACATTCCGAAATACTGCACAAATAATTTAAGTACATACTGTAAGCAATATTAAAGAAATGACATTTCTCATCTGAACTAATGATAATAGGTAATAAATAATGATTTGTAAATGAACTAGTGGTCCCGCAGTAGTCGAAATTCGACTATAATTAATTGAAATTATAAGTTACAACATTATTGTGGTCCTATTGTTACAGATTTCGCCAAGATACAAATAAACAATACTAACCTATTTTCAATTTGACTACAGACTTTGAGCAATAACAAAAGTTTGACAATACTTCAGTGCAATAAACAAAGAGTATATGTGTGTGCCAAATACATGGTAGTGTGTGTAATGTTTTCTTTATTGATTTAATGTATCTTTTATGCATTATTTAAAAAAATATTAGCATTGTACACTTCTTCTCTATATTCTCTATAAGTGTGGAAAATTTCATACTCCTCGTCCGCGCAATTTTCGTAAAAAGGTATACAAAGTATTTGCTTCACGTATTAATATATAGATAAAGCAAACAAAATCTCACAGAAGCCACGTTGTGTTATGTACTCGTACTACAAATCATAAATTAGTAAGTACAGTCGCGACGTTTTTACGGGAGTTGTTTAACTGATAACATACAATAAACCCGATAACAAAATAACACTATCTTGTTGGACAGAAACGCAAGAGCAATTTAGATCCAATGTTAATAAACCTGTAAGTTTTTTTAAAATTCTAATGAGACTAAGTACAAAATTGAATTATGTTTTGAAAAAAATTGGAAATTATATCCTCAAACATTACCACTAACGTTGGGTGACAGGTTTAATAAGGTGTAGTATATATATTTTATGTAGACTATTGTATGCTTGAAGTATATGGTATATCTATAATATACACCTTGACGTTCTACCACCACGCTGGTGGTCTTGTAAGCCTGCACGGGTAGGTACCACAACCCTGCCCATTTCTGCCGTAAAGCAGTAATCGTTTCGGTTTGAAGAGTTGAGTAGCCGATGTACTGTAAAACTGAGACCTTAGAACTCATTATTGTGTTAAGATGGGTTGCGGCATTTACATCGTAAATGTCTATGGGCTCCGGTAACCACACATGCATCTCGTTTTTACCATCGCACCGCCCGCCACCGGAGTAGAGTTCATCCATACTACCTGGAGCCACTGCGGTCATCCACAGTGCGTTTCCAGAGATCTTTTTTGCCACGTACCATCCGGCTATGGAATGAGCTCCCCTCCACGGTGTTTCCTGAGCGCTATGACATGTCCTTCTTCAAACGAGGCTTGTGGAGAGTATTAAGCGGTAGGCAGCGGCTTGGCTCTGCCCCTGGCATTGCTGAAGTCCATGGGCGACGGTAACCACTCACCATCAGGTGGGCCGTATGCTCGTCTGCCTACAAGGGCAAAAAAAAAAAAAAAAAAAAAAAACTTGTCACCAGGTGAGCAGCAAGTTCGTCCAGCCACATGAGTAGTAAAAAAAACCAGCAAAAGTAGGGGGAGGGGCGTGTTTGTCTCACATACCCCGCGCGCCCCTTTTGCGCGGGGACCTCGTAGGAGGTTCGGCCCTCTACCCGAAAAAAAGAAAAAAAAAAAGGGGGGCGTGTTTGTTCGCAATCATGTAAATTACTGAGTTTGAGTATTATTTCACGTTGGTTGTCCTTTACCATAGAAATCCTGCAACTGTTTAACATCAGGTAAAACCGGGATTTTGGTATTTATAGAGATATATAATAAGTACTAATAACTTGATTATTTCGAAAATCGCTAAAAATATGTACATATCTTGCATATAAACCGAAGAAAAACAACAGAATGAATAAACAAAATGAAGAATTAAGCACTATAGAAACAAAACAGGTAGTTATAAAACATTGATACCGAGTTCGCGCATTTCCATTTTTGTTAATTTGACGTTGCATTCCATCAGTTCTTTTACAATGTCGTTCCACAATTTGTAACGTATGTTTCTTATTTTATAGTCAGCATGATCGTAATCCCAAATTCCGGGGCGTTTCTCCACTTCTTCTATGAGTTTTTCTGGATCATATTCGAATTGCATTTTGATTAGTTAAACGAACACTTATAAGACGCGGCGTGCGAACGCGGCAGTGTACACGAGCGGGCCGACGTCGGGCGACTGAAGAGCGGCGGGGGAACGCGGCGTTTAGTTTCATTATGGCGGCGTTTGTGGTGTCCAAGCTTTGAGACTTTTTTTGCCATAAAATTTGAAACACTTCTGTTAATTTGTATGAAAATATTTATGATTTTGATACTGAAGCAAACTTAAACAATAGAAACGTCTAAAATTTACCATTTTAAAGTCGTCTTACTTTTGGTGACATTATTAAATTAACTTTGGTATTATTACTTATATATTTTTAGGTTAAAGCGTAGCTTGTCGCTGTTTATGATTTGCATAATTATTATTTCACGACCTGTTTAATCACAAGCCATTACTGTAGGGTACCGTTACAACAGAGTAAATCGATATTATCAGACGGAATAAGATAATAGAGGAAGTTATAATAAATAAGAAAATTAGTTGACGATACTAGAATATTTCTACGTACTAACACAATTTCAACAATTTTTCCCTATTAAATGGAGTTGAAACACGCTGGTTGCACATCGGTAGCTCTAAACATTAGCTGAATATACTACATATAAACAAAATAGGATCCTGTGTGTCTAAAACAGTACTCATGTATCGGCATGTATGTATAATAAATAATCATGTTATTTTGTATCAATGAATTTTATATAATCACTTCAACTCCAAAGTGAATGTATTATATTATTTTCAAATTGAATATGACCATCGTTAGTACAAAAAAAAAGATCATGCAGATTTGGTAAATTAATAATTAAAAAATTTGTCCACGTTTTGAAGAAACGTTGTGCACCATATTCAGACGGGCGTGTCGGGTGGTACCGGGGTTATCGAGCGGCGGCGTCGAAGCGCGCGGCCTGAGGGGGAAACGAAACGCGCCGGTTTCTGGCACATTCTGTCGGAGCACACGGCACGGTCGTGTTTGAAGACGAACTTCACACGTGGAGTCACGCGTCAAGGAACGCGATTTAGTTCTGTTGTTTTTCTTTTTTTTTTCTTTTTCTTTTTTTAATGTTGTGGCTTAATTTTTCGGTGGTGATCTTGAAACGTGAAAATTATATATTTTTGCTATTACACAATCACATAATTAAAACACTGCAACGATTTAAACGATTTTACTGTTTTTAATATATTCATTATTTGATTATTTAAATAATACATTGAGAACAAGCTAATTTGTTAAAATTAAATGAGTTGCGACGATGTATTACTAATCCAATGACCTCTCAAACATGTAATCTATTTATCACTATTGAAATGCTTTAACATTATCATTCATCACATTCTTGAACTTCATGATCTGGAATGGAAAATACGGTTAAAATATGGCGAACCATCTTAAGCAAAAGGTAAATTGCTGATACCCGAGCATATACATATTATGTATGTCTATCTTCATCGCAGTTGGTAGACAACATACTGGCGTCCTAGAATTGCTGGTGTCCATGGTCGATGATAACCATTTACAGTCGGCTGGACCGTATGGTTGCTTGCAAAGACAATAAAAAGCCACACCCGAAGCCATCGACGCTGTGGCACGTACTTATTTTCGTTGCGAAGCACACATGGGTTCCGGTTTAAAGGCGCGAACAAATTTAATGTTAAACAATAGTGACTTCGATCTCATGTCGCTAGTAAGGTGATGGCAATTAAATGGTCGAGTCTATAGCATCAGTGTGCTTAGTGCGAGTTTTTTAACGTTCTCGATAGCGTAAAAGTTAACGCAACTTTGTATGGAGTTGGAACGTTTGCCGCTAGGGGCGCTGTTTCAACTGCATAGAAACTTGAGTTAACTTTTACGCTATCGAGAACGTTAAATTACTCGCACTAAGCACACCGGTGACTTCTTAACACCGCGAACCGTGAGCCCGTCCATTCATCTAATGTACAAAAAGAATACTTTGGACATAGTGACAAAATCACAATTGGTATGATTAACTTGTAACTCTTGGAATTTATTGATTTGAGGTAGAAATACGTAGAACTGTGGTACTACTGCTTCGTGCATTCGACTGTTTAGGAAACAATATGTTATGTATATAGATAGGTGCTTACCGTAACCCACTCTTCTCTCGCCGCCGAGTTTCTCGCCGCCATTTTTTTTTAGTGGTTACTGGAGCCCATAGACATCTAAATGCGTAAATGCGCCACCCACCTTGAGATATAAGTTCTAAGGTCTCAGTATTGTTACAACGGTTGCCCCACCCTTCAAACCGAAACGCATTACTGCTTCACGGTAGAAATAGGCAGGCCATCATAAGGTAGCTCAAGTTGAGTCTCGTGAGCTCGCCTACTGGTCCGATTAAACGAGAATAGCCCCTCCGGGCTACTGGTAAGTAGGTAGGAAAAAAAAGCAGGCCATAAGCGCCGCCACAATTCATATTTTGATAAACATCACCACATTTAATAATAATAGTAAAAAAAAACTGTGCTATACCTTAGAACTTTTATCTCAAGGTGGGTGGCAGGATTGTCTATGGGCTCCGGTAGCCACTAAACACGTGAGCTCGTTCGTCCACCCATCTAGGCAATAAAAATAAAATAAAAAATAAAAACTTAATTTTAGTAGTAAATGAAGCATTCTTTGTGAATCGTAAATGAAGTCTTTTAGCGATTTGTGGGAATCCTCCGTTGGAAAGGTCACCGTCACTCAAAACCGTCGCTCTGTAGCTTGATGAATAAAGTCATTCGGTTGTTTTGTTAATGGACGCTTTGTATACGGCCTATAAAGAAAAGTAATCGTTAAATTCCAAATTACTTTGTCGCTTGAATGACGTTCGGCAGTCGTGTAGAGACTATGTTTTTATTTTATTTTAATTACAGGCTTAAGTTACAAAATGTTTATTAGACGAATAAATAAAAAAAAATCAAATAATATCGGAGCTGGTTCGGTAAATAGTAAATCTATGGCACTGGAATATTATTTTCGAAGAAAATGATATGTTTATAAATTGAATAAATAATATTTTCAGAGTTACCAGCTGGTGAGCTCTGTGCATGCCTTAAATTACAGATATTGTAACAATAATAACCATAAACACTTTTATCAAGAAAAAAGTAAAACTCAGCTTACAATATAAGTGGAAAAAATAGAGAGAGTATATTTTAATAATTAACATTGAAAAACAGTCAACAGGCAGGTATAATTGTAAAATAGGCGGTCTTATCATTTGGAAAACCTTTTTTATTTATAGGAATTCTAAAAAAGATACAGCAGGTATGTTGCAGTGTACTATTTTAACCTAATATTTAGAGTGATCTATCAAAATATACCAAACAATTAATTCATTTTTTCATTTTCATTTCTATTTCTTTCCTTTTTTTATTAATCTATTTTGTTTTTAACAATATTTAATTATTTTACACCAGATAAACAAATAATGTGCCTTAAAAATGCACCACTCCATCTCTTCGCGAGATTATCATAAAAAGCGACTAAGCATTTACTGGTGGGTGGTGGGTATTGTAAGCCTTTATGCCTTGGTACCACAATACTGCCAATTCCTGCTGCTTGGCAATCGTGAGTTCCGTTTTGAAGATTGGTACCACCGTTATACATCTCGAGGTGGGTGGCGATATTCGTGTTGTGACGTCTATGAGCTCCAGTGACTAATTAAGATTAGGTAGATCTTGAATTCGGCCACTGATCTTGTATAATAATAAAAAAAACCCCTACCGTTAGTACCTACAGGAAATAAGTGGGACCGTGGTGGTAGCCAACCGTGCGGGTTTTAAAATTGGGGCCCATTTGCCAGTAAAATTAGTAGGAAAAGAATGTTTGGCAAGAAAACGAGTACAAGCTACAACTGCAAATCTATGGTATTTCATATGTATTTGTAATTTTGTTTTCTATATAGACATGTACATAACACCGACCAAATTTGTTCATTTGATGTATTAAATCAAAAACTTCTTATAACAGCTGTCTAACCACACCAAAACACGTAACGCATAATATTTGTATAACCACGTTACAAGTAAAAATAAGCTCTACCATATTACTATAAGATTGATAACGAGGAAAAATGTATATTTAGGACGATATAAAGATCAGTGGGGTGGGGTGAATGAACCGATATGTCATGGCCGCGAGGATTGCTTTCAGCATTCGTGATACTAAACGAATACGTATAATAAAAAGAACTTTATGGGGATTTTTTTACTGGTGGTAGTGACTCATGTGAGTCCGCATGGGTAGGTGCCACCGCCCTGCCTGTTTCTGCCGTGAAGCAGTAATGCGTTTCGGTTTGAAGGGTGGGGCAGCCGTTGTAACGATACTGAGACCTTAAAACTTATATCTCATGGTGGGTGGCGCATTTACGTTGTAGATGTCCAGTAACCACTTAAAACCAGGTGGGCTGTAAACTCGTTCACTCATCTAAGCAATAAATAAATAAAAAAAATTGCGCTAATTCTCTGTATACTTTTTATTAAGATCTCTTAATAAAATTTAAGTTGCTTCTTTCGCTTACCGTATGGATCGTTTTCTGTTTACCTCGATCCAAAGTCGTAGGTACGTTTTACTTTCTGCTTGCAGTGATACTATGGTAAAACACGCACGTGGGTAAAGTGATAAGTGCTTGACAAAAGAACCGTTACGCGGTTTAGGAATTAGAATGCATGTATGTACTTTCAATTAGTACTGTGGTGACGCTGTAAAGAATCTAAATATAAATATGCAAAGACAAAAGGTTCTGTACATTTTTGCTTTTCTTTTTATCGATTGATTTTCTTTTTTTTATATATTTGGTTAGTAGTTTAAAGGTTTTCAGTTAAGTAAATCTTTAAGGATCAATGGATATGGTCGATATTTCGATAATCGAACAAACTTGGCGATTAGTAATTGTTTTACCTAATTTAGTGTTTTACACTATAATAGTTTTAGTTACATTTGTACTCGTCTCCGGAGTAAACAAGTTGCACCTTTTTTGAGTATGTCTAAGAGAACGTAATGAACTTGCAATTTGTCTTTTTTTAGTACGTTAGCTCACGATCCACTTCGTCTTAAATAA